CCAGAACTCTAGCCGGGCGAGGAAGTGGAGGCAGACACCCCGAACACAAACGAGTATTAACCGAGAAGTTTGAAAGGGAAAATAAAAAATTTGAGCTCTACACCCCCTCCCCAGTCTTAATGGGGAGGCCTCCTGCTTTACTTCGGTGTTCGGGATGGGAACCGGTGCTATCAGGTACCTGGGGTTAATCCCGTCAGCGACTCTAAGCGTTCGCCGGGGGACCCAGTAGGACCCCAAAGCTCAGGCAGCTGGGTGAGAGCACCCAGTACGAAGCTCTTTGAGGGGCGGGACGTAGAGTGAGACGACAGAGAGACAGAGAGAGACTCAGACAGAGAAGAGGTTTGGTGGGAGCTTCTTGTTTTCGTAGGGTTGGTTGTGTACCCCATGGTACCCCCACTGTCCGGCGCTCCCGTACCGAACATACAGCGTTTTAGGCCAGCTTCAAAGGACTTATCATCGCCTCCCCGACAAGTCAAGGAGGCACCACCCGCAACCACACACCGGGTGGTCTGGATTGATGGATCAAATACGCCATCGCTCCAGTGCCGAGGCCAACCCGCCGAAGCGGATTGCTTTTTAGACACCCACAGCGGAGTGGCCAGGTGAATGTGACTCTGACCACTACGCTATCACGCTTGTACGTCTGGCAGCGTGTTGGACGACGGGTTTGAGTTGCACTGGGAGGAAGGCGGTCGAAAAATGTAATGAAATGATGGGATTCGATCCCCGGACCCCGCCATCGGGAACACACGACTTTACGCTCTCGGCCACCACGGCCCATGATGAAGGGATCGGCGTGAGGTGGGTTCTTGAAGCAACAGGACTCGACCGACCCGGTCAAAATTTCGCAAGAAGTTGGGGGAGTCGAACCGCCGACCCTGGCACTGAGAACCGACGCCTCTACTCCCTAGACCACCACGTCCCATGCTCAGAGTGGGCTCACGTTTACGGGTTTGAACCGCACTGGGTGAGGCAGTAAAATAAAATGGAAATATTTGTTAGGAGTCGAACCTCCGTCATGTGGGCCTGTTGCACACGGCTCCGCTCTCATGGCCTCGAACCACCACCCTTAGGATAGCAAGTCGAAAAAAACTCTTGTGACGCTGGTATTCGAACGCCGGCCTGCGGTAACTCGACCCCACGTCTCTAACCTCTCGGCTATCACAGCAGTTGTGAAACGCGATGGATCATCTGCTTTCATTAACGTTCGTTGAATGAGATTTTTCGTCTGTTTTAGTGTTTCCCTCGCTGCCTTTTAGCCCCACCTCTCGAGCACCCCGACGACTGGCGTAGGGCCTAGAGGACGTCGACACGGCGTGTTTCCCGTCCGGCCACCGCGAGCACGGCGATGACCGCCCTCCGCGTCCCCGTCCCCGCAGGCCATTCACACGTCGCGCTGCGTCGCGCTGCGTAGGTGTGCCCAGTGTGCCCCCACCAGGACGGTGGCCTGCTCGGCCTGCTTGGCCGCGCGGGGCGCCCCGACCGGGAGACTGACGCACTCCTTGCAGGAGGTCGCGCACGCCGCGCTTACGTCCTTCCCTGTCTGTCTGTCTGTCCGTCCGTCCGCCCGGCGGTGCGCGTACACTGCCCACGTACGGCGGAAACGGCACGTCTTCGCAGCGCAGCACCGCGCTACGCGGCAACAAGTGACCGGAAACGAAGGAGGCGGCAATGAAGGGTCGTGGGTGGCGACCAAGTCCCGGCCTTCTTTCGCTTTTGATGTCCTTTTTGGCACCTGGCCGTCGACGGCCTAGCGCGCTCGTGTGTGCTCGGAGTGAAGCCCTTGGCCGAGCCGGCCGAGCCCCTGCCTGCCGCCCTTCGCCCTTCGCTCCAGCAGGCTGCTTCCGACACTGCTTTCGTCGCTCTTTCTCGCTCGCACTCGTCGGCCGTCCCCCTAAGGGCGTCCCTTAGGGGCGCGAGAAGGACAGCGACGGGGCTCTGTTCGCAACCCGCCTGCAGGCCTATCCCTAATCCGGCAGCCCTTCAATTACGGCCCCGCTGCTTGCGGACGGCCTCTGCCTCTCTCGCACCGACACGAGGCGCCCCGGGCGTGCGAGGGAGACAGAGCGACGAAAACGACTCGGAATCAGTCTGCGAGCGGAGCAGCGGAGCGCCGGGGATACTATTATAGGGCGTTGGCTGTCCGCTGGGCCTCTATTCCAGACTAGACGTCCCCCCCCCCTTTCAGCCGGCTAATTCGGCACTGCCATTCAAGCCATCTTAGGGCATTCGCTAATCTCGCACTAAAGAGTTTTAATTACAAACGGCCGAGGCTGGCCGGCGACGTCAGCGTGGACTCCCGCAGGACGGCCCACTAATTGGCAAAGCCGCTGTGCGACATCCGACATCCCCCGCCTCAAAAAAATAAATGTATGAGTCAAAATAAACCATGAATTTTATTGGTGTTTTCTCTTTACAGGTGGCGGTGCGTGCTGAGCGCGGTGTGACGAGGTAAGGAGGGCGATTAGAACCCTCGCCTCCCCGGCCCGTTTGAGGAGCCCGCCGCGCCGACGCGATGTATGTGACAGCGACCCCGCGACGCGGCCGCCGCGCCGCCGCCACGGAGTGGCCGACGGGCCTGCGAACTGGTTCCGAGGGTCGTCGCTCTGTCTCTCTCGCACCCACACGGAGCGCCCCACGAGTGCGAGAGAGACAGAGCGACGACTCTGGGAATGAGTCTGCTGCAAACGGCCGGGCCGTGTCCCCGGCCGCCCTGTCCGCCCTCGCGGGGGACCTGTTGCTCGGCATGCATTCGGGCGAGGCCGCCGCGCGCCTCGCCGTCCAGGATGGCGTGCCGCGTGCAGCGTGCAGCGAATGCAGCACCCCTCCGAGCGTGGCTCTGGGTCCGGGTTCGAATACCGGCCCCGTTTTCCATTTGCCTCCAATTCTGCCCCCGGGACTCGGAATGTGGAGCGTGCGTTCCGCCAGCTCGTCCTCCGTCTTCGAGTCCGTCTTCCTCTAAGGCGGTGGATCAGCCCAACCGCCTTTTTCGGGCGGCTGGCCTGCGCCGCAGACTGACTCCGAGAGTCGCTTTCGTCGCGCTGTCTCTCCCGCACTCACAGGGCGCGAGAGAGACAGAGCGACGAAAACGGCTCTCGGAATCAGTCTGGCGGGTCGCACGGCTCCGCGGGTCAGCGTGCGGATCCATCCTCCGGTCGACAGAGGGTGCGGGGTACACGCCGCGCGGGGCGGGCCGTGCCGCCGTGCCGGGTAGGGGTCACGGCGTCGGCCTCAAGCGGCCTCCCCTCGCCGTGTACCGAACGTCGCAACCCGAATTTAAAGCGTCCTTTGTCCCCCCTCCCCCCTTTTCTCCGTCTTGCCTCGGTCTTGCCGCCCCTCCTTATCCTCCCCTTCCACGCCTTTCATGCCGTCTTGCGGAGCGCGGGGTCTTTGTGTGCATGTGTGTGTGTGTGTGTGTGTGTGTGTGTGTGTGTGTGTGTGAATGTGTGCGCGGCGCTGCTACTCGGTCGGGTAGTGCCGCGCCTCGGCCGCGCGTAGACCCGATTTCCAAAGTTAGGCGGGACGAGCTTCACACTCGCCGCCAACCTGCCGCACGCCCCGCGCTGCCCCGCACTGCCCCGCACGCATTGTTGCTATACCCCATTTGGTTTATGCATGCGCCGCGCCGCCGCGCCGATGGCTTCGGGAGAGCGGAACTCGCGACCCCGCGGTGGCCCGGGTCTCGGGTCACCCCCGCGGCCCCCGCCTGTCGCGTCGCCGCGGAGCCGCGGAGCTACGCGGAGCCCCTCTTGGGGACGGCCGTCGTTCCGTCGCCCTGTCTCCGTCGCACCCACGGGGCGTGCCCTGCAGGGCTGAGAGAGACAGCGACGACGCGATCCTTCGGCATCGCCCGGTTGTCGGCCCGGTCGCGCACGCGGTGGTCAACCCGAAAGCCGAGCGCGGACACCGCGATGAACCTTCCGAACCGCGCGCCGCCGTCGCCGTCCTGCTCGCACGCAGGGCGCTCCGCAGGGGCGCGACAGAGACAGCGCGACGACACAGCCCGCGCCGCCCGCGGCCATCGGCGACCCCGTCGTAGTATCTCATCTCGCGGTGGCGTGGAGACGTGGCCACGCGTGGTGCGAGTTAAGTCGCACTCGATCCTGACCTTCCCTTCTCGTGAGCCAACAGCAAGGCGGCGGTTGCGTCACGCGGTCACGCTCCGCGTCTCTCCGCGTCGCTCGCCGAGTTTCGGCGTTCGGCGAGGCCTTCGAGATGGGACGCAGCGCGATGCCGATAACTGTTCGTTCGGCCGCGCCGAGCCCTGCCGTGCCCTGCCCTGCCCTGCCTGGTGGTGCCGAACAAGGGCGCGGGCCCAGATAAGGGTGTGTGTGTGAGTCTGTCTGTCCGTGCGCGCGCGCGTGTGTGTGCACGTCCAATATGGAGGAATGAGAGGGAAAAAGTAAACCTCGAGGGGATGGAAGGAGCCGAGGGTCTGCTTTGCCTGCTTGCTGCACACAGGACGGCGGCGGCGCGCGGGGAGGTGCGGGGAGGGGAGGAAAGAGGAGGGAGGGGAGGGGGGGGCGGGGCGGCCGGCTGCAGCGGTGGCGGGCGGCGTGCATTGCCATTGCCGGTTGCCGTTGCCGGCTCGGCTCGACTCGCTCGGCTCGACTCAGCTCAGTCCTCATTCAGTCGCCGTCGCCGCGGGCCGCGTCCGCGTTTACTTCAACTTCGGTTCAGTCGCGCTCCACAGCTCAGGGACAACGCACCACGCCGTCGCGTCCTGCCCCGCGGCTCCCGCGGCCTGAGTGGCCCACGCGTTTCAAACCGCCCTGCCCTGCCGCGCTGGACCCAAGGGGCGCTGTTGGGAAAGTGACGGGCCGGGTTCAGGGCCATCATGGTGCCGGGCAGCACGGCCACACCGAAAAGTAGCCCCCGTTCCCCCTCCGCGGAGGGACCGCGCGGCTCGCGGGAGGGGACGGCGGCGGTGGCAGAGTTCGCGCCTCGCCGCCACGCCACGCCCGGCCGCCAGTCAACTGTTGCAGTGGCGGCTAGTTTAGTTGCTCGTGGCTGGCGGCACGGCCGCGCTCCGTGTGCCCGCGAGGCCCTCGTCGACGGCGTGCTCGAGCAGTGACAGTGTCCGGGACTTGTTCGGAGTGCCCCGCCACGCGGCGAGCACATGGCGGGCTCCAGCTACGCCCCTCGTCCCCGGCAAGGCGGCCAAGGCTCCCAGGGCAGCGCAGCGGCGCAGCGCTCCCAGAACGGATAGTCCTGCTATTTTGGGCCCGGGTGGCTGGAAGACCGACGTTCCCGCCGTTGCCGATGGTAAGTCGAGCCACGCCGCCGCGCTCTCGCCTCCTTCGGATCGGCCCATCAACCATCTCGTCCTTATCTTATCTGCATGGCTTTCTTTGGCTGCGTCGCGTACCTCGTCGCGTACCGTGCGGCCTGCGGGGACCAACGGGCAGGACTGCCGAGTGATTCCGCCGCCCGCACTCCTCGCTCGTCTCTCTCGCACTCATGGGGGGTGTCGGAGCAGTGCGAGGGAGACAGAGCAAAGGAATGCGGACGGCGGAATACAGGCGTCTAGCGTGTCCTCGCGGCCACGGCCCACGTGGGGGCCGAGGCTCTGCCGAGCCCGCAAAGTCCCTGGAGGACGAAGGGCAGGCCACGCTCACCACGTGGTTGTCCATCGCCGTGCCCGTGTCCCTGCTCGTGAATCTTCGCGCGGGAAACGTCCTGGCTGGCGGTGCTGGCGGTGCTGGCGGTGCGGCGTGCGGTGCGGGCCCCAGGCCCCACGTGTTGGCCCGCCTAGCCACTCGCACGCAGCCCGCCACGCCGGGGCCCGGGCTGGGGCTGCGGGGGCCTCCGGCCTCCGCCATTCAGTACGCAGCCCAGAAGGCCCAGAAGGCCCAGATGTCCCCGGCAGCCCCGGGCCGCCCGAGCCCGCCACAAGAGAGACCCAGATGTTTGGCCCGACGAGGACGAGCCGAACACAACGAACCGAACGCCGAACCACGCGTAGCGTAGCGTTCCGAACAAGAGCTGTGAGGACGCCGTCGTGCCCCCCACCACCGCGACGGCCGCCCGCCCCGCCCCGCCCTGCCCCGCCACCGCCTGCACCAGCACAATGCGTCCACGATTCGCACTGATTTGTTTCTGAAAGGGTCTCCAAGACCAGAAAATGAGAGAGGGAGAATGGGGAGAGTGTAGTGTAAGGAAAACAAAGCCGCGCCGGAGATCAACTTGGGGGAGGGGGCGAGGCGCGCGGGGCGGCGCGGGGCGGCGCGGGGCGAGGACCTGAGGAGGGCTCGGCGACACAAGTTTTACTTTTATTTGGAAGTGAACCGGAGAGGGCCAAGTTGGGGGCGCTTCGCGCTCCGCCCCGGCGACGCTTGCTCCGCCTGCTAGGCTGCGCGATGAGGGATGAGCCAGATGAACCTTGCTGCGGAGATTACACTTGCAAAGCGCGGCCTAAATCGCAATTCATTTGCTTTCTTTCTCCTACTTCTGCGACGCCGCGCGCTAACGCCGTGCTCAGTTGGTTTCGTCGCTGTCTCTCTCGCACTCGGCAGAGAGAGAGCGAAGCAGTCTGCCGAAGGAGGGGGAGGATCACCGCGCGGGGCGGGTGGTTGAGGAGGGTGTGGTTGATGGCCCTCGAAGCCCTCCTCCTCCTCCTCCTCGCGGCCTTTGCCAATCAAATCAAGAAGTGGCTCTATATCGCGTGGCGTCGTCGCGGAACGCCACTTGACCGGGCCGGGACGGCCGACTCCATTCCCCGAGTGTGGCTGGCGGGGCTGGCGTGGCCGGGGACCGCTCGGGGGACTCGGCGCGGTCCAGTGGACTTTGTGGCGGTGTAGAGGGGCACGAGGAGAGCGGGCCGCATGGGGACGCGACACAAGTGCCTCTTCCTCTCGTGACGCTGTGCGCGGCTACGCGGCGGGCCAGGCCCTAGGCCAGGCGGCGAGGCTCAGCGGCCAAAAGGCGGCCAGGCCAGAAAGGCTCATTGCGAGCAGTGCTTTCGTCGCTCCGTCCCTCTCGCTCTCGCGGGCCGGTCTGGAGGGGTGCGAGGGAGACAGCGTCGAACGCGCTGCAGGCAGCGGCAGCCAACGGGCACAGCGGCGGCGGTTCGAACCGACCGGCCGGCCGACCGGGCGGGGGGCGGCGCTCGCATAGGGGCGTTCTTAGTCATACGGGCGCGGCGCTCTCGTTCTCGTTTTTGAAGCCGCTGCCCCTTTGCCGCCCTCGGCGCGAAGGCGCGACCCAGGTGGCCGGGGAGGGCGGGCAGGCCGAGCAGGGCTTTGTCACGGTCGGCTTCGATTGGAATTGCTGCAGTGCAGCTGTCCCGGCCTGGCTGTGGCCTGGCCGCCCCGCCATGTGCATGTGGACTGTGACTGTGGAGTGGAGTGGCTTTGATGGCGCTGCGCCCGCTGCGGTGCCGGCATCTGCATCCTGCTGATGACCGCGGTGGCCCAAATGGTGCAGCACCGCCGCTAGTTAGGCAGCCCGCCGTCGTGGGTAGAGCCACTAGCGCCGCCCCTCCCGTTCCAGAGGTTCCAGAACGAGGGGGCGGCGTTTTGGCAAGAATGTCGGTATAATCGCCAAACTCGTCTACAATGCGCATCGCTCTGCATACACTTGGAACCTTTTAGATTTACATAACAATGTGCCTGGCCGTGGCCCGCCGTTCGCGCGCTCAATTTCGAAGAATTTCGCGCGGGAAAACAAAACGGCCAAAGCTGCCACAGGGATGTTTTTTTTTAAATCCGACCAGCGGCGTTTGGGAATCGAACCCGGGGAAGGGCGGCGACCTTATTTGTCCCCGGCCCCTCGACGCGCACGGTCCACGACAGCCCCCCGGGCGTCGCGCCGGCACGCCGGGCACGCCACTGTAGGCACGCCCCCACGCCCCCTCCTTCCCGACTCTGTCCGGCAGCCGCAGGCTCGTTGCGTCCTCACGGTCCAAATGCATTTTGTGTTAATAAAGGAGCGGATAATGCAACACTTCCTGCATGCCATGGGCCGTGCATGGCTGTGCCCCCCCCCCCCTCCCCCAGCCCAGCTTCACCCTCCTTTCGCTGGCTGGAGCTTTAGCTGGAGCGAGAGCGAGCGAGCCTTTGCTCTGTGAGGATTGGCCGAGCCTGTCCGTGGCTGGAACAGCGAAGTAGCGTGGCGTTGTAGCGTGCCGCCATCGTCGCGGTTCGCTCGTTGCGTTCGGCAATGACCCTCCGCAAGTCTTTCGGCGGGCAAACTTTCCGCTGGCGCGCCGCCGCGCTGCCGCCGCCCGTCCCGGCGGCCCGGACAGACTTCGAAAAATCGGGGAAATCTGCTTGCAGGAGATAAGCGAGGCCGTCACGCCCCGGCCGTACAGATAAATGACTAAAGTCGCACCGTTCTCGACGTTGCGATAGGTCGGGTCCGCTCACACTGTGGACACACTGCGGGTCTGGCGACCAGGCCGTCTCTCTGGAGCAGCGCCCCGCCGCCCCCAAGTCGAGCCCTGAAGCAGCCCGTCCGGTTGGGCCAACTCGCTGCACCGTCTTAATTTGGTTGAATTGAACCCTCGGCGGCCACCCGGAACTCCAGCCACCGCGGGCAAGGAGCGGCAAGACGACGGAGACCCCCGTCTTCCTGTCCGTTTTCGCGGTTTTCGCACTGCGCCCTGCGGTCCGCTGCCGCCAAGGGGAGCGACGCGGCCGGAGTGGCGGCGACCGCGGCGCCTTTCCGGTCCCGGGGGAGGCGGAGCCTAGCGGAGCCTAGCCGTTAGCGACTCGAATTTTGTGTAAATATTTAAGTGACTCCGGGAGGGTGCGGCGGCCTGGAACTCTGTCTCCTCACGCTGAGGGCTGGGGCGCGGGCCTGTGCTTCGGCTTTGTGCTTCGGCCCGGAGCTTCGGCCCGGAGCTTCGGCTTGGTGCTTCTGCCCTGTTCTTCGGCCCTGTGCTTCGGCCCTGTGCTTCGGCCCGGTCTTCGGCCCTGTGCTTCGGCCCTGCGCTTCGGCCCTGTGCTTCGGCCCCGCACTTCGGCCCGCTGCGGACCTGTTTTTTCGCCCCCGTGCTTCGTGCTTCGGCGCGGCCCCGCGCCACTCCGTGCACTCTGTGATTGAGGACAGGCGGGCGCCACTAAATCTCCAGGACGCCGCATCCATCTTGTTAATTGCTCCGGGGGAAAAATTACAAAGTGCTGCTGCACTGGGCTCGGCCCTCCACCGCCTTGCCAGGCTTGCCGCCCACGCCTTGGGAGGGGCGCACCTGGAGGCGTCCGATCCCATCCCCCGGGCCGCGCCGCCGCGCTGGAACGGCTGGAGCCTGGAGCACGGCTGCGGCCAAACTTTCTTTCCAAGTGGGTGCGGCGTGATGGTCGCGGCTCGCCACCCCTATTTCTACCGGCCGAAAAATGGTTGAGGAGGCCGCGGCGTGGCGTGGTGCGGGGCCGTCCTACGGGGCCGTCCAGCGGGGCGACGGCCTCGAAGAGGAGGAGGAGGAACGTCTCAGAGCTTTATTAATTGGCCGTGCCATCACTCCCCTCTGCCCCATCTGGCCGCTTCCTTTTTACTTTCGCTGGAGCCGCAGCGCCGCAGCACGGCGATGTGCATCCTATTGGCGGCCAAAAGTGGCCTGGAAATCGTTCGCCCCTGCACCAGAAAATCGGTGGAGGCGGTAAAAATCCTACACACGTTTCGAGCTCCAGGGCGCTAAGTGTGACCCCACCAATGGATTGCTCTTCGAACAAGGAATCCATTGATGAGATCACACGATCGGTTCGAGTCCTGTTTAGAGACTCTGGAGCGTTTTGGGCGCCTCCACCGGTCTTCCGGCCCACTGTGCGCCCCTCCGACTTGACGCGCCCGTCCGTCACCTGCCCGTCGACCAGAACCTCGGGCCAGGCTCGCGGAATCTCGCGCCGCCGCAGCGAGGCGCCATCCGAAAGCACTAAAACTGCCCTGAATTTATTGCGCCCGGCCCGGCACGACACGGCACGGCGCGGCACGCCGGGGCTTAATTCACTTGCCACCGAGTATGTCTCCATCAAAGCCCTAATTAAGTTGGCTGCCGCTGCTGCCGGTCTCGTGGTCTCATCCCCGGCGCCCCGGAGGACCGGGGACGGCCAGTGGCGGGGGTGCGGCTTGTTGGGAACTTGCTCCCGAACGAGGCGATCCAGTCCGAGAGGATATCGGCATGTGATTGATAGGGGGATTTGGGAGGCGGCGCGGCGCCGCGCGGGGGCTGGCGGGGGCTGGCTGGCCGGGGGACCGTCCCTGAGCGACACCGCTCCGCTGACGGCGTGGTCCGGGTGGTCCGTCGTCCGTACCGACGCCGCCCCGCC